CAAGAGGGGGGGAAAATCCTTCCTGATCCCATAAGGCAATCAGATATTCCCTGAGATATCAAAATATCAACTAAATATCCAGTAATATTCTCTGCATTTAGGAATGCATCCAGATTTTTTTTTTTAAACAATTAACTGAGCTAGCTAGAACTAGCTCCTGGGGGAGTCTATTCCACATTTTCATAGCTCTAACTGTGAAGAACCATTTCCGTATGCAAAGGTTAGACCACTTCCAAGAGGAAGAGCAAACACCCACCTCGAATGGGTTGCTGCTTGTCTGAGGGGGAAACAGAGGAAAGCCTGAGATCAACCTATAGGTTGGACTTTATGGACTAATGTCTTTATTCAACCTCAAATACTATGTAACTATGTAACCGATCATAGGAGTCCCCAAGAGCGAAAACTCCAAAGGCTGCCCTTGCCAGGCCTATCTCAGCCATGCCTGCGCTGGGCAAGGAACTGCATGCATTCAGTTAATGCAACTGGGGAGAATACTACTTTCTATATATTATCCAGCCTGTCATCCAACCAGCAGCTTGAAAGAAACCATCAATCTTTGGTGGTTTGGTGAATAAAAAGCATTTCTTCAGAGAAAAAAAAAAGACAAGAAATTACATTTCAACCATGAAAATTAGCTTCCAGCTCCTTTACACTAGATCAAAAACGGAACTCTTCAGGAATTAACCCCTTCATGACTGAGCTTGTATTTAGTTTCTGTTCGTAAATGACTGACACACTTTTGAAATTTTTGCTGTGTGATTCTTCCAAGTCAGTAATATACTTTCTTACAAAGTGCACCCACACGTATTATATATTGTTTTTTAGAGGACAGATGGGGCTTTATATTTATATAACATATGTGTACCTGACTCTTCACTTAAGAAAAATAAAATATTAAAAAGAGGAAAGAAATTTAAAGAAAACACTTTACCAGTTTTGATTTGTAGTATTTAAAAAAAAAAAAAGCACAATTAACAAAATGCATTAAATACATTCATTTATTTGCCCTTTATTTGGAAAAACCTCACATCCCTAGGATTTTAGAAATGTTTCTGTACTTCTCAGCCTAAAACTAAAACCTAACATTTGAATCTTTTTTTCTCTAAAAGCTAAATCTAAAAGTGGTCATCTAGCATACAACGTCATTGTCACTGAGTGTCACACTTAGTGACACCAACATACTTTGAACATCGCCATCATGAAGGGGTTAAAAAACTACGTTCACACGACGTCTGTTTTCTGTGCTGACCTGATCCGTACGCTCCTGCACTAAAAATGCATCCCAATGTATCCCTAGGTGTTTTATGGGCTACAGTTCTCACGTGCGCAGTCCGTTCAGGTTACGACAGAAAAATACTGCAATTCCACCTTTTGTACGGTCAGGAAACGCAAAATGCATCAAAAACACACTGCACTGCAGCTAACATACTGACAGCCCCACTCCAGCAAGAAAAAAAAAAAACTATTTTTTTTTTTTAACTGGAACACATCAAAAAGGCGGAAGAACACATAGCACCGCGCCTGCTGATCCGCACCTGAACCGGACCTGAAACTCATGTGAACAGGCCCTCAGGGTAAAAAACAAATCTGCAGCTCAGCAAAAAAAATAGTACTATGTGTCACCAGTTGTTTACAAACACTCCACTGTTTTGTCCTTCACACAGATATTTACTGATCCTCCGCTTGGCCATGCACAATCACAGAGGCGCCGGCGATCCTGGATCTAACAGATGGCGGCTCTTATCTTGTCCTGACATGCAGCGCTCCCTCCTCACTCCCACCGCTGGCCATTTCTCCTCGGATCCCCGCTGCCTCAGCCCAAAAATACAGGCTGGGGAAAGAAGTTGGGATCCGGGGAGAAGATCCCAGCCTAGAGAGGCTCCAGGCAAGAGGAGGGGCTGCAGATTTCGGTGGCCAGCAGCGGTGGTGTGGGGCGGCCGGAATTTTTGTTAATAGCTCTCATTCTCAGCTATTATTTTACGGGGGACCGTCGGGGGAAATGTTCTGTTAGAAGTTCATGGTACCGTAAAAGCCACCGATGTAAGGCTTACTGAGCTGGCTAGCTGGAAGCAGTTGTGTTCTGCCATAAGCCTTATGTCAGTGGCAGCGAAACGGGTTAAACGGTATATATTATGTGTAGGTGCTATGAATGAGGAAGATGGAAATTACGGAAAAACAAACACACAGCAAAAATGTCAAAATTGCTCTAATCCCTAGGAACGGAAAACATTTCTGAAGCTGTCACTAAAGGGTTAAATCCACAATTTCTGAATTTGCCAATAGATCAAAGATTGGGAGACAATCCTCCGATTGGGACACCTGTTCCTGTGACAACTCTAAGATAGTAATTGCATTCACTTTGAAGAGATTTATTCTGATTTCTTGTTGCGACTCCAAGGCAGGATGGGAATGCAGGTGGACATTAAATAGGCAGTTTGGGCTTTACATACACTTTAAATATAATGGTTACCCGTGCAAGACTATGGGCAATATCTAAAACAGCATGCGTTACCTTGTTCATCTTCTTGAATCTTTCAAGGACCCAGGTTACCTTCTTTGGAATGGATCTTAAGCCAGGAGTCTAAAGTATAAAAATAAAAAAAAAACAGACAAGAGTAAATTCAAAATGCAGACAGGGTAAACCTATAGTTAGGCTAGCTTATTTAAACAATGTGAAACAAGTACATGAAACAAGTACATGGTAACTGATGCAGCTTTTAGCACTCTATACTTTTTATTCAATCTTCAGTACTGGGTGGCTGTGAGGAAGCTGCTATTTGAGTAAAGGCCAAGAAATTACCAGAACTCTTCCTATTACTAGGCCCCACCCTCAATGTAATAAAGTAACCAGACGCAGGAGTAGCCAGGGTATGTCTCTGATGATAAAATCCTAAAAGGACACCATTGAGGAAAGACTAACTAGGAGTGGTCATTTGCAGAAGTGCCTTAATGCTTCTAACTGGGAATTATACTGTATGCTACAGGTACATTGTATTTACTGATTGTTTTGTCACATGATACCACGCTAAGGAATTTCTGCTAGACAGCCAAACTTCAGATTTCCATGTGATCCTGTCTTCACAGGGAAACATGTAAAATAAAGCCAGCCTATAAAAAGAAGCATCTTTATACTTACCTCCTCAGATGACTACATCTTCAAACTCTGCAACTTTGTTGCTCCCTGGTCGCTGCAGGTATTTAACACTTCTGGATGTGTGAATACCTGCTCCCCCTGAAAGCTTGAAAATGTTTTCCTTGGCGTGCAGAAAATGCACCATCTTCTACTACAAGGCCCCTCTACCCCAATATGACACAACCCAGAGTTCACTCCAGGCCAGACCGAGTCCTTTCTTGCAGACTGGCATCCCAACCCTAAACGTTGGGCCTAAACGCTGCAAAGCAATGGCAAAATGTTTGATCTTCATGCACTGAACCAAGACAATCTAGTGGCAAAGTGGAAATATTTTCAGATGTCACTTTCTAAACACCCCTTACGATAGACCACACTATGCATGAATACTCACCCCACTCAGAATCCCTATACGCTTCGTCAACACCACTTTCCCACATGATATTGTCATTTTACATGAGCTTTTTCCAAAAATCTTTCCCAAGAAGATCCTTTGCTCTCTCACAAATGGGAAAAAGACCAAGCCTGACACTTGAAAACAGAAGAACTAGAATGCAGAAACCCATTATCTTTCAAGGGCTCCATTAACATCGGCTTTAAAGCTCAGATCCAGGTAGTATCGGACTGGAGTGGTCCTGCACTGCATTTCAACAGACCTACAAGACCCATGCTGGAGATGCAATAATAACACGGGCTTCCTTTTACATATCTGATAGCAGTGCCCCCCTGATCCAATCATTCTGGCCTGAAATTCATTACCTTATCACTAAGATTGCTGTCCTTACTCTCCTTTTTCAACCTGCACCTTAGCCATCACACAAATATGATCATGAAACAATATAAATATTCTATCATACTTAACCTACCGGATTGTGAATACCTAAAACTAGGGATGTCCCGATGCCACTTTTTCAGGCCCAAGTACAAGTACATCCCCTCATATACTTGCCGATACCAATTACCGATACTTTTTCTTAAAGGGACAGGTGACTTTAAATGATCCATAGTACAACTACATGATATGTACTATGGATCATGGTTTAACCTATTCACAATTATCCCCTGCTAACATGAATAGGTTAAATCATGATCCATAGTACATAACATGTAGTTGTACTACGGATCATTCAACCCATTCATGTTAGCAGGGGATTATTGTAAATCTATTGCTGCAATGTACGGGACATTTGTGCTGTATATGTACAGTACATATAGATATACAATTCTCCACTGCTAACATGAATGGGTTAAATGATCCGTAGTACAGGGCTACATATCATGTACTACGGATCATTTAACCCATTCATATTAGCAGAGGATAATTGTAAATCTATTGTTCAGTGCATTCTATATGTAGTATATAGTACATGTACAGTACATATAGAGTACATGTACAGTACATATAGAGTGCCTGCAACAATACATTTACAATGATCCTCTGCTAACATGAATGGGTTAAATGATCCATAGTACAGGGCTACATACAGATCATTTAATACATTCATGGTATTATGTATTGTCTGCACTGTATTAGCAGTATATACTGTATATGTAATACATATACAGTATATACTGCTAATACAGTGCAAACAATACATAATTGCTTAATAAATCCCCCCC